TCCTCTGGGGCGCCGAGGGCCGCGACGTCTGCGCCGCCAATGGCACGGCCAGCGACCAGGGGCCCGATCCTGACCTCATCTGCCGCAACCGGACCACCACCAACATGATGTACCTGCTGCTCATTGGGGCCCAGGTGCTCCTGGGCATCGGTGCTACCCCCGTGCAGCCCCTGGGCGTCTCCTACATCGACGACCACGTGCGGAGGAAAGACTCCTCGCTCTATATAGGTAGGAGCCGGCCAGCGCCAGGCGCCGTTCTCGGGTTCATGCTGTTAGGAACGTGGGCGTGTTGACAAAGGAAGGAAAGGTGGGCCGTGAACTCTGTATTTTGCCGGAGCCACTGGTTCTCACAATTGGCTTCAAAACACAGGGATATTGAGAGCTAAGGTCTAAAGTTCACCCCAGGAAATCTGGTGTAGTTGGGTTGGGGTGCCCTCTGGGCATAATGCTTTTTTTAAAAAAATCTCACCCCAGGATATTTTTCCATTGATTTTCTTTTTGTTTGTTTTTTTATAGAGAGTCGGGTAGAGAGAGGGAAAGACAGAGAGAAACATCGATGTGAGAGAAACACATCGATTGGTTGCCTCCTGCACATGCCCCGACTAGGGCCCAAGCCAGGGAGGAGCCTGCCACTGAAGTACGTGCCTGTGACCGGGATCGAACCCGGGACCCTTTGGTCTGTAGGCTGATGATCTATCCACTGAGCCAAACCGGCTTGGGCCATAATGCATTTTTAAAAAGCTCCCCAGGTGGTGCCACTGTGCAGAATTTGAGCATTAGGAGAATCGAGAGGGGAGACGTGGTCAGGAGGAGTTTTGTGTTTATTTACCTGTTCTTCTGTGTGCCTGTGAACTTGGGGCTACCTGGGAAGACTTGGACTCTATTCGTTGGCATTTGATATCATTCAAAGTTGGTGACTTGGAGTAATTTTTTTCTGTAACGGGGGTATGTGCTGAAACTGGGTATTTCGGAAGAAATAAGGTGCATGTGAGTTTTTAAAAATTGCTTTGCGCTGTGTGCATTTCTGATATTTTATCCTGGAAGGATGGAAGCCATTTGCAGATACAGGGCTAAGAAATATCTAAGTGGCGATTTGCTCTTATAGGAAATGGGTGTGTCTGCTCTTGGCAAGGTGGCATGGACTCCTTGGTCATGTCACTGCCCCTGGGTCGTGTTGCAAGGTCATTTGTACGGTGAGGGCTGGCCTGCCTAGCATCTCCACCCCTTGTTTGCCAAGTAGAATTTTGCTTCCCACAAGCTGTTGGACTGTATGACACATCCCGTCCCCGGGTGCTAAGCTTTGGAAAAGTTACTCCTG